AATTAAATCTAAGTAAGGTAAACTATTGGATTTTACAGTGTACTTGCAAAAATTGTATTTAGTAATGTAATCCATTACATTACACATCATACATATAATCAGACTACCTCACTGGTGTATTAATGTCATTGGTTCCTTTGTGGCTACTTGAATATTTCAAGTAAGTGTCACTCAAAACAGTAAGTAAATTGTAAAGTAGCTGTAACTTAATAAAACCTAGTAAGTATAACAACCCAAATACACAAAATAATGATCTTTAAAAAAGCATCATATGACCCCTTTAAACACAAAGAAAAAGAAAATACATTGCATTTGTTGTTATTATAACATGAAGTGCAGAAACATACATTACACCGAGATTTCCCAAACCAGAGCGTGCAAGTTTAATAAAAAGTTAATAATGAATGAAATAATAAAAATGTAAAATTAAATAAATCATTTTTAAAATAACAACGATAAAAAGAAAACCTTACTAAAAAAAATCTTAAACATTTTATTCGTTTACCTGCATGTCGTGATCATTAACCAATGTCAGAGAACTGTAAATGCAAAGGTGCTATTATTAAATTATTACCTTAAAATCTCTTGAAGTAAATGTAGAGGTTTGGCTGACAACAACAACAACAAAAAGTTTAAGAATCCTTGCATTACAAGTGAATAAGAAATAACATGAATTACTGTGTTACCTTCCAAAGACAGTGGGTTACTGAACCAAGTAATACTTGGTTGAACAATTTACTAAGTGATAGTTCAAATAAAAATGAATGTTCATCAGTAGTTGATGCAGGGTTAAAATGTTAAGAAAACTCTTTTTGTAAATCCAGTGGTCAAATGATGCGTGGCCTCTCAATGTAAATCAAACTAATGTAATTCAATCTAAAGTGTTACAAGCTGTTCGTGAATAGATAAGATAATATGTTATTTTTAGCAGCATCATATGACCCCTTTAAAGGGGTCATATGACGTTGCTAAAAATGATCGATTATCTTATCTATTCACGAACAGCTTGTAACACTCCAAAGAGAAAGGAAAACTTGAAATCGCATCATATGACCCCTTTAAGTAATTGTTGTAATCCAGATTAGGCTACATGCAATTAGTTACTACCCAACACTGTTAATTGTGCACGAATAAAAATGTAAAGCGATAAAGTGATAGATATACAATCTGCTAATTGGGTTATACTTTTGTTTATCTTGGTACTGATCGTTCAGCCAAAGAAACATTAAAAATTTATTTTCACAAACAAACAAATAAATAAATACAAAACCTGATTGTGAAAAAAATGGTTGTGATAATTAGATTCAATTGTACACAACCTATTGATCAGACTGTACGTCTAATCTGTGGGATATTGTTGAACACTAACCTACAGTTCATGAACAACATTCTTACATATAATTCATAGTGACAATGAGCCACGATGATTGAGAATGCAGTTTATCTGGACCACTGTGGTTCAGTCTTATGTGTCACAACCAGCCTCTCGAAAAATTTCCTAATCACTGAGATAAGTGTGATAGAGGAGTAGTTGTTGAGACACGACACAGGAGAACAAAATAAAAACAAGCTCTATACAATTAATTGCATATATAAATCAAAGCAAGACAGGAATTTGAGAAACAGCAATGATGTGCCATTTCAAGCAACTTCCATATCTGGCATGAGCAGAAAGAAATGATTGATCTAGGTTGAGCTACACCTCCTACTTTGTTCACGAATCTCAGCAAGACGTGTTGTCTTACATATTAATTGATGAATAAATATATTCCTGTCACCCAGATGCACTTCAAACAGATGAATGTGAACATGTTTAGCCTCAGTTGTCAAATTTGACCTCTCAGTCATTTCATCTGAGCACTGATTCGGGTATGACCTGTGATGGACCTGTTCCAGTAATGCTGCAGGAGACCTCAGTAGTCTCCGTTATTGATTTTGGAAAAGGGGAGGGGGGAGGTTCACGGGTTGAGGCTCCAGCAGCCCCTCATCATCACTCCCAACAGCCCCTGTGGCACCCAGCTACCCACAGCGGGAGGTGAACCCCCGCTCTCAAAGGAACCTGCCAAGACTATCAAAAAGAAGAAAAGGAGAGATTAAGGGTGAAAGAAAAAAAATGATCGAATGAATGTGTGTGAGAGAGAGATAAAATGATAAGAGGAACAAAGGGACGGAGGAAAGGGAAAATCTTAGCATTTAGAAGTCCTGATCAGTCGGTCCCCTAAGGTGCATTTCTTAATGAGACGTTCACAAGAAGACACGGCAATGAGACTGAGAGGGAAAGGTTTCATTCTTTCTTTCAAAAAAGTTTGGATTTTAGATGTGGGGTTGAATGTTTCTTTATGTTTTCATTTTCAGTGGGTGGCGGAGGAAGGCCATGTTAATTAAACCTCAGGGAACTCTGTGCATTTGAATGTCACAGAAATAGCGGCTGCAGCAGGCGGATGGAGCGGGTATGCAAACATGTTGACTATGCAGTATGCATTAAGGCAGGAGACATCAAGTTCGTGCTAATTTGCGTGCAGCTATTCCTGCGCACGCCGGTTCTCTCTGTAGTTTTCCCAGCTGTAAGTTATTAATGTTTGTCATTAGACACATTATGCTTGAGGACAGTGACTAGAAACCAGCACATTTATATGGGACAAATATTTACAATAGCATGCTCTCGAGTATTCGAAGAAGAAAGCATCCAAACTACATTAACGAATGGTAATTAACCACAAGGGCCCCCTGATCCAGGGTGGCAGATAAATTGGTCCCTGAGATGCTTAGGACAGTCTTGAGCTAATCCTTCATTACAAAAAGATAAATGCAAACGACATCATTAGCATAAAACTGATTAGATAAAACGTAGTATTCTTATGGTTAATTTTTGAATGGATGGCTTTACAAGGTTTCTAATTGTATGCAAAGGGGAAAAGAGTGAATAACAATGGAGAAAGTGAAATTATATATAATCTAAAATATAAGGATGGTTTCTTCCTACACAAATTCTGCCAGATTTTTAATGAATCAAAACAGACATAAGAATGTCTTAAGATTCATGAGATTTATATATATATATAGGAATTACAAAAAACATGAATTACACATCGTTATTGGTGCAACTGAAATTTATGTATAATTTATGTATAACGGTATTGACACTAGGCACCATTAAACTGTATATACGGTGTATATATTTTACACCTTATCTCCATCTACAAATATGCAACCAGAAAATGTAGTGTTCAAATGTGAACTGAATAGTAATTACTAAAATATAGAAAAATGGTCTGGTCTCAATTACGGTGATGAACATATTGCATACAAGCAAATGAATGCAACCACCATTCACAATTTTAGTTCTATATTTTTGTTCATAGAAACCTCTTCATTAAGTGCATTCTCATAAAATGTCCTTAGCTACTATTGAGAAATTAAAATGGTTGCTCCACAACTCATTCAGTCACAAAACATAACTTCTAAATAATACACACCATCTACATCAAGTTTATATATTATTTAAAATTGTGCAATATTATTGATAATTGAAGACAAGGATGCATACAAAAACAAATTAGCTAAAAACAAATAATAACACAAAAAAATCACACAAGAAACAGACAAGCAGGATGATGTGACCAGAATTTATTTAATTATTTAAATATTCTTGCAAAATGTTGATTATGCAACTTCAGCCTTGATTTTGATTGACGTTTGCTGTGGCCACATAAACATAGAGGTGTGAATTTACACTGACATGCTAATGTGTTTAAAATGTCAATCTTAATGTGCAAGTCAGGTAAAAAAAAAAATCAATTGCACAATCATTTACATACAGGTAAAACATTAGATCAAATAAAGAAATAGTAATCTCCCCAACATTTGGTACTCAATTTCAAAAAGTAGTCTTTGCGATCTGTAAAATTCAAATAAAACACAAAAATACGGTGCTTTTCAAGTATTGTATCTTTTCATCCACCAACCAGTCAATGTTTTTTAAAGGCCTTTCATAAAAAGCATTTTAAGTTGTATAATTTTTCCAAGAGTTTGTTGTGTGAGGCACAGGACTTCAAGAGGGTAAGAGAAGAAAACGGGTGGAGTACTGTGTAGACAAGGGGCTTCCGCTGCCATGCAGGGCACACTCCATCTTACAGAAGTATTACAGTCTCTTGCTCCCTTTCCGTCTTTTTTTTTTCCTCCGGTCAGGCATTTTTGCTGACTGCAGCTGTAAGTGCAGCCAGTTCCTCTGTCAGCACTTTGCCCTCCTTCATCTTCACCAGCATGGCGTCCATCAGCAGGCCTGCAGAGGGGATCTAGGGAGAGAGAGAGAGAGGGGCAAAGAAAAGAAAAGCTGTCAAAAAGAAGAGAGAGGCTTTTTTCCTTTGCTTTCTTTGACACCAGACAGCTTCTCCGGGGTGTCTTTGGCTTTGAGGACGACTCGAACCTGTGATGAAACTCAAGACTTCACTCTGATTAATTATGACAAGGAACAAATTCAAGGAACAGGTCACGAAGGCTTTTCTTATTTTGTGAAAAACCAGCCGAACACATTTCCTCAAACAGTAAATGGGATTGTTTTGAGGTTTGATTTGCTGCCACGCCACTCACGGCCTGCCACCGCTCCTAGCGATGCATGGAACGAGGAAGGGATGCTAAACCCGCAGCGTCTGTGTCGGCTCTGCGCTAAAGCCAAGCACGGTGGCTGCGCTAACCTTTACTCTGACTTCACTTTCTCCCCCCCCCCCAAAAAAAACCTTCTCAAGGACTCTGTGGTAATTAGCATTGGGGATCAAAGGCCTGCATCATCCATAAATATTGAATTACACTTTTCTAAAAGACACACAGTAACATGCATTTTTTATATTCTTCATTGAGCGACTTCGCACAGAAAAATAAATGGTCTTAACTCCGGCAGAAGCCTGTGTGTCTGGCTGAAAAGAGAGACATGTAAACGCAAGTGCAAGAGAGTTGCATCGCAAATGAAGAGGAAAGAAAGTCGGAGGGAGAAAAGTGTGCGTCTCATTAGGGAGAGAGGGAGCTGTGTTTTCCCCTGGGGCAGGTAGACTGGAGTAGAAGCCGGTCTCCGTGCTGACTTCATCAAAAGCCCGCTTGAGTGGTGCTAAACAACTACAGAGGAATGGCTGCAGGGGTTATGGCACAGGAATGCAATATTATTTAATTACTCTTAAAAATGTGCCATTTTATTGCACAACGCAGAAATGCTACAGCATCTGATGCCACGCTAGCCTGGGAGGCCTAAGTCACATCTTGGCTGTGCTCGCTTAAACAGGCCCGCGGGGACGGCAGACTCCGTCATTATCATGTAACAGCTGCTTTAGCAGGTAATCTCCTCCCTTTGGACTGCCCTGGTGAGCTGTTCACTATTCAACAAAGCTCTCTTTTGGCCTGCGTTTTCATTAACACGCCCAGGAGTTGATTCGGAATCGACTAGCCTGGCCTGAGGAGAAGTGGGGAAAAAAAACCCCTGCAACAATATGAAGGTGTTTTATAGTCCAATTAAGTGACGCTGGTTTCATAGAGTGTGAAGGCGCCTGGGGCGAAGCTACAGGCCCAGTCACAATACTCCCTGAGCTTCATCCCGCTAAGACACACACACCCACGGATACTCTCTCTAAATTGACTGATCAGGCCCCTTTTGTTATCAGCCTTAAGAGTAGCTTTCGTGAGGCCAACTTATGCGTGAGCCAGGAGATTTGCGTACAATCAGCGAGATGTTTTGGGAAATCTACGCAAAGTGACGCTGCAGTTTGAGTCAAATATCTGTAAAGCACTGTTGCTTCCTGTGCCGAAGAAATGCTCAAATCTGTTGGCAAACAACTCTTCTGAAGCCACTTCCACGCACCTTGATGAATTCTCCCCCATCTAGGCCACCATGAAGTGTGGATGATTAAAAAAAAAAGAAAAAAGAAAGCATGGCGTTCTATGATCACGGAAGAATATAAAGCTTTCTGATCTTTGATCTTCGCAAAATTAATTTGAAATCAAAATTATTGAACATGGGAATAACAAAAAAATAAAAACAACAACCAAAACACCCAAGACCTACTAAAGTCTGCATTTGATTAGAAGATAATGAATGTGTCACATGTGGGAAAACAAGAGATCAGGTAAGAAAATCAAGCGTAGCACCAATCTATTCTTCTGTGCCAGTAATTACCCACCATGCAATGCCTCTCTTTCCATTCTCCCTTTCAAACCACTGGAGACCAATATGAAAGGGAATTGGACACTTGGGGCTACAGATACTTGTAATTAAAAGTCCTTTTTTTAAATGTTGTTTCTTACATCGTCAGGTCTATACAACCTGAGCTGGTAGATCTGACCTAAATACACTGTAGAATAAATATGGAGCACTCCCCAAGTCTTTGTTCCCTTTCTCTCTCATTAGGAACTGATGGAGGGGAGGGAGCAGAATGAGGATCAAACAATAGCATCAGGCTCAGAGCAGAGTGGTCTGTTGACGATGCTGTCATGTTCGGTTCACTGGTGCTTGACATCACTAGTACTGATGAATGCATATGGAGTGACGGTCATTACGTGGAGGGAGAATGATGCCATCCGTACTGGTCAATAGTGAACAAGAGGTTCCACAATCTCCAGTTTAAAAGCTATTAGTTATGTACTCTTTGTATTGTATTGTTGGTTTCAAATAGGTTTGAAAACGAAAATAACTCTGAATGACTCTAAAAAATGTCATGTAGTTTAACCATAAAATAAAAAGTATAGATTGTATGGTTTTAATATATATATATTTTTTTATTTATTTACAAACATCATGAATTATTCATTCATGCATATCAGTTTTTTGGGAAGTTGACCCACAGTACAACCTGCATTAACATGACTTTTTCTTTTCTACTCAATATGGTAGTTTGTAATATTTCATTCTTTTAATGAAGCTTTTTAATTCATTATGATATAAAGACAACTGAATCACCCCAACATTTTTTATTTTATTTTGGCCCCTAGTGTTGTAATTGTTTACTAAATCTAGAACTAAAGCAAAAAACTATTAAAATCTATTTCAGTAATAGAAATAAAGATGAAAGACAACAATGTAAATATTAGATGAAAAACTAAAATGAAAATTAAATTAAAGCAATATAGAAATATAGAAACAAACAAAAATTAATAAAATTACAGTACAAGGGCACATGACAAAATTAATAAAAATGAAAACAGAAAAACTACAATGCATTAAAAATGCTATAAAAGTACATAAATACTCAAATAAAACTGATGCCCCCCTCAATATTAATTCAGCAATTAAAAATATTCTTGTCATAGAAGAGGTGTAGTCAAGTCACCACATGTTTATGTTTTCTAAATGATTTTGCTTAACAAAATAAAGAATAAATTTTTTTTTTTAAAACTTCAAAATCTGTGCAAGGGAAATAAGCTGTTAAGTATTGGCTCCAATATTAAAAGAAAAAAAAAGAAGAAGCTGACACAAAGATTACCGTGGGCTGCAGCTCTGCCAATTCCAGTCACTGCTTTAACTGCCGCAGCAATTAAATTAAGTTTACATAGTGCCACATTCCTTCAGCATGTAGCCCATATATATGTCAAAAAATTTGGAAAATCTCAGTGTAGGTGTCCACAGTGTAAGCCTAACACAACAGAAATATTACAGCCAGAATTACAGCTTTACAATCCAAATTCTGCTGGTCATGAATCAATACAAGAATGGAGGGGGGCCACGACCTCTGAAATGACTCTGTGCTGTCGGGCCGAGATGAATGTGGTTGATAAATGACTAGAGGCAGGGTGGCTCAGTTCATTAGCTCTAACAGTCATTTCCATCTCTTCATAAAGGCTGTGGTGTTATAATTTACCTCTAGTCAATAATTAGGAATCCACAAATAAACGCAAGCAATTAAATGTCTACTGCTACTGGGCGAAGGGGGTCCCTGGGCTAGATGAGGGTTTGCGGGTGGACACTCAGCATAGGATGGGTTATTCACGGCCTGACACGTTAAGCCGCAGGGAGCACTGTGGACTAAATGCTTATAGGTTGGTGATGTTATTCCCAGGTTGTGACCCTCAAGTGAGGAAGTGTTGTTGTCTCATTAAGAGAGAAGGGAATGAGTTTAGAGGTGCTTGGAGCACGTTGTGGCAAGAAAAGGGGAAATAAAAAGCGAGATATCCAAAGAGAGAGAGAGATATGTTCATTAATGTTATCTGAGGCTAGCAAAGCGGAAACACTCTGTGGCAAAGGCAACAGATCAGAAGCAACAGCCCGTAAGCTTTTGTGTGATTTCCTTTCCTGCACGACTCAGACAGGCAGATAAAATGACATGAGAGTGAAAGGCACCTCTTCAAAATGCGCTCACCGAGTCCCAACATTATTCTGACATGCATGAGCTTGTTACGTTGACATGTGGCACGGGAGTGATGGCTGTGGTATTGACAGGGCCACAGCAGTAATAGGAAGTCGTCACAGTAGTTCCGCCATTAGTGGCTGACAGTGACAGCTCACGCTATACACAGAGACTGACAGGCGAGAGAAAAGACCTTGCATAGGTATCACACACACACGCACAAACCCCCATATTACCAATCCTGATTTTCCACAAAAAAAGGCCGTAGTACTGACACATAACACCCATGGAACTTCGCATACACCAGTGGTTTTGCAGTATCGTATAAAGATCAAACAACCTAGGCTCATTAGAAAAATATGCCTCTACCTACATTTTTACTCCAAGTTACCAAAATGTACCTGTACGTATGAAATGAACACGAGAGGGCATTAAAAGACCAGCCATTTTTATTCATTTTCACACAAGTTGTGATAACGGGCAGATTATCGATTAATAAATGCTTATTTTTGTGCAGTTCTTTGCACAATACTATGCTATAGTACACAATACTAGGACCTCAAAATGCTATTACCATAGGGCGACTTGTAAACTAATAAATAAATGGAAACTAAAATTTTTACATTTGCATCGCACAATGGTAAACTTGCTCGGTAGCTCACCTGGTACAGCATTACACTATCAATGAGGAACGCTCGGGTAGGACTCCCATGAAACTTGTCACAATAAAAGGGCTCAAAGACCTGTAGAAGCAAGCTAAAATGGTTGTTTCAGCAACTGCGTTAAAGTCGGTTACGTTTTGAGTGGGTAGTACTGTATGTTCTTCTTTTCTGAACTGATGCGTACGAGAATCAACATAAACCAAATGCTGCCAGATTCACATTCTTCTATTTTATATAAAAAAACATTTTAGTGCCCCTTTTCTGGACATTTCACTTCGAAAGTGTTGTGAAATGTGCAACACACAATGTAATATCAATTTGCAGCAATGCCGCCACAGGCGTGTTTTTCCAATGAGCTCAAAACATGCAAGTACAACATAAACAAATTGCAACATTGACCTAGTGGTCTGTTTCTTCCTTCCCCCAAAAAAAAGAGAACATAAAAAAGCTCACCTGCCAATAAACTCGCTTGATCACTAGTCAGAGGAAGAGCCACCCTCCCTGTGGAGCGCGTTAGGAGACGGAGGGTGGAAAAAAACAGGATGAGCGTGTTGAAAGAAAAGAAAAACTAACGCGCGGGTCACCATGTCGGTGTCAGCGCACCTCTCTGGGGACTCAGGCTGGTCTCAGCCTTGTCATACAGAAAGCAGTTGTGTAGGCCGAGTCGAGAAAATGTCGATAGCAACTTGCCTGTGAAGAGTCTCCTGCGGGCCGCTGCTCTGTTTGTGTGTATCTGTATGTATGCGAGTGTGTCAATAGCAGCCTGCTGGTGGAGAGTCTCTAGTGGAGCTTGGCTCAATCTCCCTGCATCGACAGACCTGCCAGATCAATACTTGGCCCACCACTAACAAGCTGCTTCGGGGTCTCACAGCCCAGCAGAGGAAGCAAGAGAAAGAGAGAGAGAAAAAGAAGGAGAGAGAGAGACTGAGCTGCCTGATGGCAGTCTTCAGAGTCCTCTAAAGTGTCCAGCGGCAAGAGGCAGAGATGTGCAGACCGGGTATAGACAGGTCACAGAGGTCAAAGGTCAAAGCCACTAGCAATGTAGTGACACGCTAGAGCCTGTGAATCATACTAGATGCACGTTTCAGGCTGACAGCCAAACACACACACACACACACACACACACGGAGGACAAATCATAAATACTTTAATGATCTCCTGGATATTACTGCTAAGAGATTTAATTTTATTCATAACAAATAAACACTGCATGTGAAAATAGGCTAAAGTGTGGAATTTGGAGTCACTTATGAGCTAATTCAGTCAATCTTAATATGATTAACATGAATATTCGACGTGAACAAGATTTTGAATTTGGAAACAATGGTTTCTTATTGAGCCTTTCACACCGGGAGCTACATTTTTTTTTTTTCTTTGTTGAGTGTGTTGATTTTTTTTTTTCCACTAGCGATGAAGCACACCGACCAGAAAGATTTGAGCTCTGGGTAATGTCTTTGGAGTTGCTGCAGATACACATATCAGAACATTTGGTGGTGCTCATGCTCTAAAAACTGGACAATGGAGCAGCAGCCTTCACACTCCACACATGTTAAGCCTAAGCCTGAATATTTCTCTAAATAAAATGTTTACAGTTCGCTTTACACTACACGCATAACCTACAACTAGCCAATGGTTTGAATAAAATATTACTCAAACGTTCAATCTCCTCATCAATATTCTTTTGTCTGTATTTTTGCACATATTTACACTTACCCACAATGAATTACTCCAACATTCACCACAATTTTATTTGCTGACTTTGCATGAATTACCTTTTTAATAAATAAAATCTAAGAAAAGATTAAAATCATTTAAAATAATTAATGATTTGTATTGTAGTTAATGCTTACAGTTGCGGGTGTGAACTGGGTTTAACAATTTATTTGCACAATACATTCTTATATATTTGCACTGTATATATAAGAAATGGGACAGAGGTAAATTTCTGCAACATTCTTCTCACTCGCCAATTGGTTTTTAGAATTGTATATTCTATATTTTGAGGATTTATTAAAATAAATCAAAACAAATTATGCAAATCTTTAATAACTATGATACCTTTAATAATACAAATTTAGACATCATTTATGGACCAACGTTTTTGCTGCTGACCTTTCATGATTAAATTCCACATGGGAAATTATTTACTTTAGCTTAACATAACACATACATTTGTTTTTTGATTATTGTTGAAATTATAGTCCTGAGCTTCTCATGCTTCTGTTCTTGAGCTGAAAAATGCGTACACATCGCACCATCTATTGTACCGTGATTTTGCTTTCTGTTCAGCCTGACAAATATAGACCAGTGAATAGACCATTCATCTGCGATTTGTTTCGCTTTTTCACGGTGTGAAAGGGCCTTAAAAGATTAATATGTTCATTTTAAAATCTGCAGGATATGTTTGAAAAAGGTCAATTACACTAAAAGCACCACATTAACAAAATTATGAATACTGAAAAACGTGAATACTGAAAAAAAAAAAAAGTATATACTGCTGATTAAATCAAACCTGCTGCTGAAGGATGTGTTGTACATGTTCAGCCCAATCTGTGTCTGGCCCACGACCCACAAACGCCTCCTCACACTGCAAATCACAAAACATGGCCGGAAATGCTGTTAAAAGCCACGAAGAGAATACTTAAACTTCTTTTGTGTGGGTGTGTAAGAGTGCCATGGTGTCATTGGATGACCCCAAAAGTGGTTCAGCTAATACATGTGGAAATTATAAAATAAAATAAAATAAAATAATAATAAACAAAATAAAATAAAAAATAAAGCACAATAAACACCCATGTGTACAATTTTGGCAGGTCTAATCAGAATATTCACATGTACAAATTATGCCAAACAAATGTTTGGTTGTCAATAATAATAATGATCTTGAGTGTTTGTTTGAGAACTGAGCCTTATTTCTTTTTCCATTTGTATTTCCATTTTCCATACAGTAAGTTTTGTTTCCCACAATACTTACCTCATCTGTGTCCAGCATGTTCACCAGGTCTGTTTCTGTCATGTTGAGGATAGACGCTGCTTTCACTAGTGAGCATTTAGACATTCTGTTTCCTTCTCTTTCACTCTTTTTCTTCCTCGTCAAACGGGCTTTAATATCCTGCACATCCTGAGCCAATTGATTAGCCAGTGCCTTATCAATAAAAATAGAAGAAGAAAAAAAACAAGCATAAACACATTTTCTGTTATAATACAATCTAGAGTGGCTAAAGGTATAATGAACGTGGTGTGATCAAGAACTCAATGTTAGGGATGCTTTAGTTGAATTGAGAGCGGCCTGAATGAAGAGCCGAATGCTCCATGACTTTTGACGCACTAGACACACTAAAATTTCAAAGGCTCTCGTGTTGATTTGGAAAGGAATTGCACAGAGATGCCAAGCTCTTAAAAAACACACATTTGATTTTTTTTTTGTATGGCACATATTATATGAGACATTCTCAGAAGAGTGTAAATAATGGGGAGATGAGAGGCTCTTAAAATGGCGGTGGGGAACGTTGGATCTTATTCTTTGTTGCGCCCGTTGAGGGCCGAGCTAAATGGGAATTGTTGCTAAATAGTGAGAGACAATTAAATGTTAAAGCTGCCACTGTACATGAGAAAGTCAATAAAGTGAGCTCCCCTTTGTTTCATTTTCAGCTTATTGATCGTAGCAATAATCTCTTGTATCATTCCCCATAAGCCTTGTGAAAACCTGACCTTGGAATGGACAGTCTGCGTGTGTGTGATTCCTGCATGGTCCCGGTTAACTCACAGAAGTATAAGTGAGAGCAATCACACGCGGTTGATCAGAGCACAGTTCTTTGGGGCATGCTCCATTTCCCACATCTCCCCACCACCGTTATTTGTTTCATAAAGCCTTCATCATAAATACTTCAAATGGATCTTCATTATATTTCAGGGGATGCTATTGGATTACATAAAGGCTAGTCTTGCGTCCTCTTGTTCACACACTGCGAATGTGCAGCGATGCCATTAAAAACTAAAGCAATTTAACTAGCAAATGTCTCTATCAGTTGTGAACTCTAAAAACAATCATTTATGTTCATTTGGGTGTGGGGGGGTATTAGGTGTACTTCAAAGCAGAGGTGACTTTAACATACTGCAATGAAGCGTAAATGTGCAGTTTGCTGCCAAGAAAAAAAAAAGAAGCTATTTTAAGAGACTCATTGACCTTGACATACAGTCATGACGGGTGTTCATTTTCAGCTTGTTTTCTCTTATATTTTAACAAAGCTTCTTCACTGCATATTGTTTTTTTTTCTTCGAAAAAAATTATTCAATTTTTTATTCAATATCTTTTATTGCAGGAAGAACTAAAAATGTACATTGCAAAAAATGTGCTTTTACAATTTTCTTTTATATACTCTCCACCCAGAACAAATAATACAAAAGAAAAATAAGACAATAAACTATAATGATAATAATAATAAAATATACCTAAAAAAATTGAAAATGACGATATTATAGACAACAGCCGGGAAATTAAAACCCATGCCCATATACATGGGTTTTCTGTTTCCATTTACAATTTTAGTCTAGGGGGAGAGCTGTACCCTTTTCAAAATAGAAATTCATTGTGTTTGATTCCAAGGTATGTTTTAGTTAATATGTTATTTTCTCAAATTTCAAAAACAGCATTACATTCCACAGTGGAACTGTTGGGGGTTTGCTTTAATTTCTAGTCAAGTAGTATTCTTCTCTGCTAAAAGACATACAAAACCTTTATACAGAGTCCTGGCATTTTTTGGACATGACAACACCTTCTTCTGGCATTTTCTTACTATATGCCTTAGACCAAATATTAAATATAGCTGTCCAAAAATCAGATAGTCTGGGGCAAATTTTTTTTATATTCTCTTATAAGAATTTCATCCTTCAAGTTAATCTTTTTTTAATGACATCAGGACAGTTGTCAATTTTTTTTTTTATTATCCTGCAAAATATTAAAATAATTTTTAATTCAGAAATTAATAATACATTCATTATGGAAGAGGTCTGTTCAACAGATTAAATAAAGAAAAGAATGTCATGTCATTAAGTTATACAATTAATGATTAAATATAAATTGTATTTAACTTCTTTTCTCCTGAAATCCTGTGAGCGGGGGTAAACACACACAATACCTCTGTCTCGAGTCTGAAAAATGTTCTACAAATGCCATGTCAATGCATATTATGTAGCAATAAGCTCGAGTGAAAATTGAAAGAGTTCTTCACATAATCATTGTTAGAGGTCCACAACGTGAGAAAATTCCTGTGAAATTTAGATAAATTGGTCAATGTGACCTTTCACTTCCCTTTTGCTTTACATTTACATACACTACATAAACATTATTAAACCTGCAACATTCAAAATTCACCAGAGGGATGCCCAGCTCATCAACAAACTGTCAAAAGAGCATATGACTTTATTTAAAGCTTAATAGATATTCACTGTCACTAGTCAAAGGGTAGATTCAATTGACCTAAGACCAGCGCGCAGAAAAATCCGGAAAGAGATTAAGTGAATTTATCACATACTCTGCACAGCTCCCCTGGCCGCTTCTCGAGAGCCAGCCGAGCTGCAGGATAGTGTGATGGGGGCCAAGAGGAGAAGGGTTCTTACCCACAATCACCGTAGCCACAGGGCCAATTTAGCAGTTCTCTTGCAGAGGAGAAGGATTAGAGGAGCGGAGGAGAAAAATTCCTCTTTAAATGACTTACCTGCATTAAACCACGCTGGATTGCATTAGAAGATAAACTACTGAGGAAATTACTGAGAAAATAAATTAGACTTTATCTTAAATCTTTTGTGACATTTGGCATTTTTCACTCTCAACACCACTTGAATGGGGAAAGTAAATGTTTACCAGCAACACAAGTAAACGCTGGATAGGGCTGTGTTAATGAGGTGTCTTAATGACTTCATGTTATACTAATCTAGCACGCTGTCTTAAAGATGTCTTTATTACTGCAACAAGCATTTAATGCAATTTGAACTATTCCTCCAGTTTAAATGCATGAAATCATTCCTGTTGCACCTGCACTATAATACACTACGTGCTATCAATTAATCATGGCCACATACATTAGCATAATTCAAACAAAGCTCTTCGGTGGATCCCCAAATGGCATTATAATCATCCCAAAAGATCCGTCTTGAAGCTTCCTGACAGAATGGCATGTTCAAAGCTCATCAATCCATGACAGGGGGATGTAGGCCAGAGAGCTGGGCCGTCTACGGGGACCATCATTAACACACTAGCAGGAATCAGCTACAGGTTAACTATGTTGACTATACGAAACCACAGGCTACAAAAACATGCTGGCTTTTGACGACAGATTTTTGCAAAGGAATTTTAGAATCGAATCCATATTTTTTTTTCTCTAGGGCCAGCGTATTGATCATACCTTGCATCTAACACCCCGTTTACACATTCTGTTTCAGGTGATCTGATCACAAGCGGAGAGTGGTAAATAAATGTGTTGTGATCTAATCGCTGAAACCACATTCAATAGATTAAAAAATGCGAATGACCTCGTTGCATTTGCAATGTAAACGCTAGTCTTGTCCTGACTGCATCAGCACAACAAGGGCCACCTACTCACCTGTCAATCAACCACCATTTAAAACATTTTTTACTGGTTACATACAGTTTTTTAAAGAACTGATAATGTAAAAAAATATGCAAAGTATGTAATTCTTCAGAATGCCTGATATCAACATGCAGGATTGTGAAACTCACACAACTTTTTGAAAAAAAAAAAAAATCGCATTTTCAAATTCTTTAAAATCAAATTTTTGCTTAGATTAACTTTCTTTACTTTATTTTTTCCCCTTCATCATACTCTGACCTATATGATCTATTTAGCCACAAATACTGACTTTTTGATACTTTTTGATTCAATCACAAGTGATCACAGGAGACATATTTGAGACACGTTACTGCCAGGTGTAAACAACAGTAATATGTATCAGCTGATTGGATTGATCAAGACTTAAATTAACACCAAGTGTAAATGGCCTAAAACGAAAACAAAGACAAACTGAATGTTCAGATACCCCAATGAATGTGTGGAACTGGTGCAGCTGGGACTCGGCGAGGGTGAGTTTTCTCTGCAGTGTTTCCAGAGCCTGAGAGCTCTGCTCGGCCAAACCATGCATCTGTTTAGACGCAGTCTGCTCCAGCTCAGCCATGGCCTGATCGTGCTCGCTTATGCGCGCCTGGAGGACGGCCACTCTCTGCTCCTGGGGATGTGTAAGCAGAAATCAGAAATCCCACCAAAATAAACACACTTAAAATAACTTCTACCAATCATTTCATAAATTAGGACATTACATTACACATAGATAACAGATGTATATAGTAGATATCTAGTAAAATAACAATGAACCCACAGATCAATAGCAGAAGATGAAATGAAAAGTATGGCATTGGGGCCAAACATCAAATGAGACTGATGGTAATTAGGTGAATAATAAGAAAGAAAGAAAGAAAGAAAGAAAGAACACGATAACACCAAGAAAAAAAAAAAAAAAAAAAAAAATACTGAAGTAACATTAAAAATTACTAAGTGATGAATAGATGCTCTTGAACCTTTTTCTGAAGCTCTTCTTTGAGTTTTTGGCTTGTTGTCTCATGCTGTTTTTTTTCTGCAGTGGCAACTGTCAATCTTCTCTTTAGAGAGTCGACAAGGGCTTTCCGGTTAGTTGACTCATCAGTGAGAGATTTCATCTAAAAAAGAAAAGCAATTGTTATTAAATAAGAGTGGGGTCGCTGAGACCGAAAATTCAATTACTTCATTATTTTTAAACAGACAGTGAAATGTGGAAGTCTAGGAAGTTCAGACTCTGGATGAGTGACACAATCAATAACGGCAGAGAGAATAATTAATTCCAGGTTGCTCCAAGGCTGTTGCCATGGCTAGTACAGTATCTGTTGTTCGAGCAGGACCTACTTTCTTTTCCAAGTCTTCAGTCACTGCTCTATGGCTCCTTTCAGAGTCCTGGCAAATCTTTAGTCTGCACCTGAGATCCTCCACCAGCTGCCTTTTCATCGTCACATCCCTCTCTAAAACACCAACCCTGTATGCAAACATATGCACATAAACATTGGTGTTTTTTTATTTTATTTCAAAAACAGAGATTTTTTTTTTATGTGGACACGCTCACTTTAAAAATTAACAAATGGAAATGAATAAATAAACAGAGAGAAAACAAATAAAATGCCAGCAGTGTTGTAACCAGATTCCTCCTAAATAGTTTAAACATCTACACATCTCTGACATATAAAACTGTTGGAATATGTTAACATTTGAGGGCTGTTTTATGGACTGCCTCCTTGACCAGAGCTGCTGTAATGATGAGTAAAGGTCCTTTTAAATAAATATCCTCAAATTCCAGAGAGAGAGAGTGCCTGAAGCAAATGCACTGAATAAATGTGAGAGCTTCTTATTGGAGTGACATTAAATTAAATAAGACTGGGTGGCCTGGGGAAATGGAGTCAGGTTACCCAACAGCCATTAATGAGAAAAGCCATATTGACCCCGCTGTAGAGTGGACAAAGCGTTTCTCCTGTTGACTTACAGCCACGCTTCACTCATCCTCCCCCACTTCACTCCATCTTTCCCAAAGCTCAAGAGAGCAAATGGCAATTAGATCTATAACATTTATTTTAGGGGTAAGCTCGCCCAAAAAGAATAGCAGGATGGTGATACTGATGACTGGCGTAAGCCTCAAAACAGCTCCTCTACGGATGCCTGGCTCGCTAAATCGTTTGAACGCTTTCCTTCGACTCTCCGCTTTGTCTCTTTGGTGTTGAGGTGCTAGATTGCTAATTCAGAATGCATTTCGGATGCTAATACAGTTGTAAGTGCTTTCATAGATCATGGATACGCAGTTTGCAGTAGAAAACAAAGGAGATGAATACATTTATGATATGGAAAGACAACAGGCGGCACATGAAAGGCAGGCCTTTATGAATAAGGCAGAGACCTCTGCGCCGGATATTGACTCAGGACATGGCAGCATGCTTTGAAATTCACTTTTTTTGAAGGCAGTGCAGCAGATGTATTTTTTACAGCGTCTAGACATGTATTTCATTTAAACAAGCTGCGTGGCGTAAGGCGGCTTCTGCTCACAGGGACTCCTCATCTGTGATTTCACATGTTGTGACAGACTGGCGTGAAACCCCGGAACCCCTTACGTGTCTGCAGACACACCATGCGACATTCACACACTTCTAAGCAAGTACATCTTGGAAAAAAAAAAAAAAAAAAAGCTATTCTCAATCCATATCTTTGTTTTCCAGTAGGGATGTGAACATACTTCAAACCAGATCAATTTTTTCTTGAGAGGAGAAATTGCAAAAAAATATGGTATTTGCCTTAATGGCAGATTTTTTTGCACTTGTTTCAAGCAAAACCTCACTAAATGTTTTATTTATAATAACAGCCATTTTTTATCCCACTGAGATGGCTCGAAATGAGTGACGCAGAAAGAAAGAAAGGAAGGAAGTAAAAAGACAGGGAGAAGGCAACCAGTTAACACAACAGTCTGTCAGACTCGGTGCCCAGGGCAAGACATCTTATGACGATAGTGCATAACTACATGGGAAGAAATTACAGCTCCTGTCACTGTCTCTTTCTATCTGATAGTATGTATCTATACGCAGCCAGCTTCATGGTTTTAAAAATCTACGAATGGTGTTGAAGTCTGCCACATGGTGGAATCAGACACTGCAAATGTGACCCAGAGCACGAGAAAGAGAAATAGAGGGTGAAGAAGTGAGAATACCTCAAGACTAAGAAGGAAAGAGAGGGGATAGAGAGCATTTACCTCTCGTGCAGTTCCTTCAGTGTCTGATCTCTTTCATCTAACTGAGCCCTCAGGCTCTTGTTAGCAGCAGTGTGTTTGCTCATCTCACTGCTGGCATTCTGTGGAGAGAAAGAGTCACACATTTATCCTATCATCTGATATCCCATCGTGCAGGACTCATTTATGAATATTGAGCCATCGGGATGCTTAATGAGGATGCTGTTTCACATCTGTTTCACAGAAATGTACACATCTACATATGTCCTGTGTATGGGCATATGGTCAATGATGTGACGTGAATTTTTTATTCAGATCTATGAGGTAATTAAAAAATATGTACAATTATATGTGCATTTTTGTAAGGCTTTAAGTAAATAAATGTTTAGGTGATGTAACGGTCAGGATATTGTAATAAAGTAAAATGTTTCATTAATATTTAAAAAAAAAATTAAATTATGTACAGTAGTTTGATATATATTTTATTATTATTTCTTAAAAAGGAAGACATGAATGAAATGGTAAATCTTTGAAGAAGAAAAAAATTAGCCAAATCAAAGTCAGCAAAACGCAGGAAATCTATTTGTTATCATGACAAGAGAACCATAAAGGAAATAATAAACAGGAAATAACAATTTCAATAATAAATCACAGAGAGGCCCTGCTGTAGAGCCTCATGACTGTACACCATGGTCAGTATTTTTTTTATTTTGATATTAGAATATATTAGATATGCTGACCTTTTTATGAAAAGGCAAGGTTGGTCAAATGGAGTAACATGAAAATTCGTAATTCATAATTTGCAAACAAACAAACAAACACAAAAAGCAAAATAAGCTAAAATTATTTAATTTTTTAAATTAAATGATTATGATGTGCACACAGTCATATATCAAAGCAAGAATTTACTTAATAGTTATACTCCGTGTCATTTGTTTAGAGCCATTAATCCAAATTTTGTAGAAAATGGTTTAAACATTTTTAAAAATAGAAAAGAACAGAAATACAATGACAATTGCATTCTGAAGTATATATATTTTTTCATTTCTCATTTTCATCATCTCAGACATCCTTATTTGTCGCTAAATCTTATATTATGTATTGTAGCACTGTATATTTATATATTTATAATTTATAGCATTATTTATTATGCTGGGTTTTGATCTATTTAGTGGCAGATTTGTTCAACCTCTGTGAATGTGTGTCAAGGTAAGAGGCACACTGAAAACTCTGACGACAGGTTGAGTTGGTGGGATGCCTGTGATCATGTGAATGATGGATATTTGTATGTGCACCTTGTCTTTAGTTGAAAGGAATGGAGGACTCGTTTATGTAGCACACATCCTGACTGCATATAACACACACCCACACACACTCTCATGTCTCTTGAACATGACACTACCATTGAGACCAACACAAAAATATAAAGAGCAGTGCCAGACCCCATATTTCAATTTGCTGATATTATAGACCAAAAACTTGTTTATAGGGAGAAAAAGAAAAGAAGAAAAAAAGAGAAAAAAACAGTTCAAATGGAGAAAGTCAAACTTAACATTTCAATGCATGTTTGAACTTTGTTTTAAGTTTCAGCTTTTTTGTTTTTATGTTCTGGCCATCAAATCCATGCATGTCTTCATTTATCAATAAATAGAGTGTATAAATAATATAAACTATCTATCTATCTATCTATCTGTCCCTCTATCTATCTATCATCTATCTATCCATCCATCCATCCGTCCGTCCGTCTATAGTTAACACTTATATTTAACAGAAGAGTTAAACCATATTATAGCAGACCTACGATTACTTTTAACTGAAGATGTGTCGAAATGCAATTAGATATTGCTTTAGCAAATACACACCTGTACTACTCCACTTTACAAAGCTACAGCAGAAAGTGTTGGGATAAGGTAAAAGAGTATACAATTTATTTTAACAATATATTTAATTAATAATATATTTCATATTTTTATATAAAATATCAACAATGGGTTAATTTTCTCATCTTACTATAGTCTAAAAATGGTTGAGAAACTATTGCAGAGGATACATAAACAAATAATAAAATTATTTAACATTCTTAAATATTTTAAGACAGTTGAATTATTGAAAAATAATACCCACCCGAGGTGTAACAGCCACTCCGCTGCATGTCGCGGCCGCATTATTACCTCAAGGTGTGCATTATTTGTCAATAATTCAACGGCCCGCCGTTAGTTATTCCTTATTTATGTTATATTGCATTTTATTATTTTGTATTATATATACCTTGTTTCAACTTTTGTTTTCTAATAAACCTGACATTACATGTGAATATTGTTGGCCTGCGATGAATTGCTTGTTATGTTCCTCATAAATTGCGTTGGATAAAAGTGACTGCTAAATAAGTAAATGCAAATGTAAATAATAAATACAAAAGAGTTATACATACCCAAAATATCCATTTTGTTTAGGCCTTTACAAAGAAAATACTTCCAAAAACAGTGATTTCATAAATCTGTGTCATGAACAATGTCTATTTATATTTTGTACTCATGTACTGATACTAATCTTCCCACACAGGTTCTAATCTGTTTTAATCTATCAATCAAATACATAAACTGAACCTATTGAAATGAAAATAATTGTAAGAGACCTTCAGTCGGTGAGTGAGCTGTTTGACTTGGGCCTGCAGGCGCTCCGGGTCTACGGCAGGGGGGTTCATTGACGTTTGCTGCCGTATTCGTCTCCACTGCTCTAACTCCATCTGCAGAGATGCCTTCTGCTGCTCCAGACCAGCCAGCTCGCACGCCTGCTTCTGCTCACCGACACACAAACAACGAATAAACAAATCCACATGTAGGAGCTCTTACAACAGCTTCATAACAAAGGACCAGATAAGTATCAATTAAGCAAGCTGCATGACAATTAGGCAAAAGTCTGATTAAACATTTTCTGGTGAATTTTATGATTAAGGAGCATTTTTTTAGGCTCAGGACTACGTAGCAGTTTGTGATTAAAGCCCTAAATCCGATTAAAGCTTTATGCTAATAAGGAGGCAGATCATTTCTCCGTTTTTCTGTTGATTGTCAGCCTTAATAGAGCCATTGTCGGCTCGTCCCAGTGCACTCTGGGAGTTTATCAGCACTGCGTAGAGCTGAAAGCTGAGCACTAGGACTAATTGCTCACTCACTCACTAACATACACAGTTACTGCATAGAACTAAGTGAATAACATAAAGCCCTGTTTGGGGAATAAAAGCACAGAGTTTATAACAACACTCAGATGTGATACTTCACCCTCTGTCCAAACATAATGATTTCTTACTGCACCCAACATACAATATGGGGTAAATCGGAGGAAAACGTCCACACACACAAACACAGTTTCTTGTGGAACATCTCAAACATGCAACTGCTGATATCTGGTTTCTGACCTTTTAATAAAGCATTCTCTTTCTCTGTCTATCTTTTTTTTTTTTAGGTTTGTGCTAATGAAAGACACACTGAGAGGCATTGCATTTATGGTGTTTCCAGTAATCTGAGGGTTTAATAAATGACCCTGCACTGGAGGATCATGTGGCTTTCTGTTTACATACTGACGCATCCTCTGGTCCCCTATAAGCTGTCCTAAAAAGCACAGGTTTTCAAATTATTTGAAGCCAAGGCCCCCAAGATATGATAATACCCTTGCGAGAGACTTCCAAAAATATAAAGGTATAAATTTAAAAAGGTGTAAATATATATATATATATACATACACATACACATACACAGTATATTTATAATTATTTTATAAATTAATTATAAATTCATTGTAGAATATAATTAAGATAATTAAGAAAGCTGTATAAACATTTTGAATAAATACAAATTTAAATAAAAAAAGATTATTTCTGAATGATTAAACTAGGGCTGTCTCAACAAAAAAAATTATAAAATTTTTATTATTTTGTATAATTTGTATCATGTGGAAAATAATTGTTACACAAAATGCATTATATAATTATATAATAAATATCTATAATAGTAATATAAAATTAGCTAAATGTGTTAAAAACTATAAAAAAACACATTTAATTAATTTATATAAGAAGTTAACACGTAACAGTCCTAAAAAAGCATTTAGTAAAATGCATTAGTGTTTCTTTCTCTCAAATTGTACGTGGACCCCAAGAATCCTTTGTTAGAATTTTTTGTGTGAGAATGCTTGAGTAGACGGCTTCTACAGATCAGTGATTTACGAACTGCCATGACCAGTCAGTCACCTGGAGCAGTAAATTAAACTGTCAAGCTTGTTAGAATCCAGTCACACTCGTCTCTCTCACCCAACTCGGACGAGATGTGGGGAGGTTAGTTTGGCTTAGCGCTAACAGCCTCTGAAAGCCTCGCTGTCAGAAGAGAAGTCTAATCCTGAGGTAATCCCGACCCTTCCTAAAAGAGGAACATGGACTACACCTGCAAATTACGCATATTACAGGCCCGGCCTGTCAAACAGGCTGTCAAGTCCCTCCGCCGTGGTGATAGGAGAGGTTCTGCCACACTATGATTAATCCCACCGCCATGATTAATCTGAACGGCTCAAAGGTGTGACAGCAGTCTTCACGAGAAAGCTGACCTGAGTGGGGGTAGATAGGTGAATGTGTCCAACCTGTCAAAGTACATCAAGTGTACTTCCTCTGTCATCCGTAACAACACAAGCTCAGATTCATGACACATAGAGCAGTTTTGTCACCTACATTTATTGTGTCACAGCACCAGCTTGTGGTTGGAGCACTTAATAAAATAAAATATGTTAATTCTTTATTTAAGAAAGGAAGGAGTGAGAGAGAAAAAAGGAGGCATCAGCTGGAAGCTCCTCAGGGATATGCACTGTGATTGACTGATGAAAGTGTCACTTCACTGTTGAGCATGTGTTCCACTTAGAGAGAACAAGGAACACACACACACACACACACACACACACACTACAGCAGATGCATTATATCAGGTGCTGCTAAAACAACCATCAACTGCAGTTCTAACACATGTAGGGAAGCGAGAAGCCATTCAACTCATCTAATATACATCACAGAGTCTGTAATAAGAGATCCATTCTCTGCTAATACTGCATATGACATCCGTGTGATCGCTACAGGAGCTCTGTGACACTTCAACTCTGGTACAGCATGACTACTCCGCTTCAAGCTTTAATTGAACTTGGCCATTTATCACAGGAGCTTTGTCTTTTCTGCCTAGACAATATAATGAGAGAGAGGGTGAGAGACAGAAAGAGAGAGAGAGACATTAAAATGAGCAAAATAAAGGATCGATACCAGACCACAAAGGGCACAGGGATCAATGTGAGCTGAGAGTAGTGTGACACCCGACACGAACACTAATACAGAAGAAACACAGACTCTCACACAGAGGGGAAAAAGAAGAAGAAAAAAACAAGCACCAGAATTTGCAAATGAATACAAGTAATGTGCTTATTCTTTGTGTGTAACTTGGCTCATAATAAAAGTGTTACAATACAATTGCAGAAAAAAGGCTAATTATTTAAACTTCAAGTTAAAAGAACAGTTAAATAAAATATAATTCCTGCAATTATGTTGTTGTAATGATATTCAGAACAAAAGCACAACAGCGAGTGTGATTTCACTTTTATGCAACAGCTCAGTTAACAAGAAATGTATTTTGAGAAACGTACATTTTATATACAATATTGTGTTACTTTATCTAATTTTCCGATAATAATGTATAGTAAAATTTGTTCCAACAAAAAGAATCAACTTTTGCATGAAACCGAGCAACACACAGTTTTTTCACTTCTAAATGAATCAGTGTATTTCACCAAACCATTAAGTCAATGACTTTCTGATAACATACCAAGAGTAGACTAAAATAGCTGTGTGAATGATTCATTTTTTAAAATGTCAAAAGTACTTTCCATTTATTTAGATTAAAAATTTTTTTAGTGAACAAAATTGCTCTCTTATTTCCTCCCTGCATCCGAACATCTGCTGATGGAGGAGCGTTTTACTTGACTGTGGAATCAGACACCACTCTAATAATTCTATCTAGAATAAAAGGCAGAGCATGCGGCTAGGTGAGCTCATGAATATACACGAGTATATTTACATTCAAAGGTGCAGAGCTAGATTTGACACCCAAGCTGTAAAACCCACACTACTCCAGCTGATGGCGTGATGGTGGGCTGCTGTCTTTTATCCTGGCTGCCATAGTTAGCACTGGTGGAGCCTTATATCAACTCATAGCATATTAATATTTGCCTCACTGCCTAATACATACTAATGAGTTAGTTCTAAAGTTCTCAAATGTGTTCTTAAGAACATCTGAATTTTTTTTCTTAAAGGGGTCCTATTATGCTCTTTTACAAAGTCTTGATTTTGTTTTGGGGGTGTACTAGAACAGGCTCTCATACTAGGTTGTTCGAAAAACACATTATCTTTCACATATTTTACATTATTACAACACCTCTCTCCCCAGTCTGGCATGAACGGCTCGAATAGTTCCTGTATCAAATGAAGGCTTGCCTTCTGAAATACGAAATGTGCTGTGATTGGTTAGCTGGGCAAGTGTGTGTTGTGATTGGCTCCACTCGGCGCCTGGTCGTGAAATGTCATGCCCCTACCATAGCCGTCTGCGAGCTACAGTGTAAATATTGCGTCAATATCAAATCAATTTGAGCGCGATTTAAACCCGGAGGATTGTAACCACTCTAAGTTCGTCTGCCTTGGGAAAGCTAGCATGTCTCCGACATAGTGATAACACTCATTGCCTTCTCTAGTGCAGCTCAACCAGGTCTCATCCCATTCGTCGATATTTGTGATATCACAAATCCCGGGAAAATTTGCGTTGTAGTCCAAACGAGTCGTTCGTTGTAGTTTTTGAAAAGTGATTTCTGTTAAATAAAATATCTCCTTTTGAAGTGGACTTTGAACTTTGTAACTTTGCAGATCTTTTTTATGCTCAAACAGCAACATTACAGACTAACTAAAGTTGAAAAAGTGAAAAAGTATAATAGGACCCCTTTAAGAAAAAAATGACAGTCAATATCTGACTCACACTTCAAGGATTGTCTTTTTGCGCCTCCTGCAGATAACCCTAATAATCATAATAAGCACGCATACTATTTTCATCACAACCAGCTTGACTGCTGCTCGGCTGCAGCTGCAGCAGATCTGTTTCGTTCATTTTTGTGCTGTGTTTTTGCGCTCTCTTCCGAGTGAAAGCTTCCGGTATGTGTGTCCTGTGTATGGGTCCATTCATATGCGCTGAATTCTGCCAAAAAGTATGACGTATTTATAGGCTAAAATAAAAAAACGAGCTCCATATCTGACTCGTTTTTGTAGAGTGGTTAATACATTTTGTTAAAATTTGTGTTCCATAATCTAAGGTGTTAAAAATAAACCATTAAACAAATATGTAAAATACTATCTTTGCTCTTGTTTTTGTTGATGTTGTTTCCTTATTTGGAGAATGTGAAAACATATTAATGCTTACAAATTATATGCTACAAATAATGTTAGATGTAATTCATTATTATTAATTACAACAACAACAACAACAAAAAAACGGTACGATTAATTAATTATTTTGTAATCAATCTTTTGATTTTTGAAGAATTTTTTGAAAAAAATTGTGAGGATTTTCTCTCACGGCGGGATTGAATATCGTTCCCATAACGGAGAAATGTCTCAGTGATGTCTCGTGAAAGCTCGAGAGGGAACGTCTCCGGTTACAATCGTAACCTCGGTTCCCTGAGAGCGGGAACGAGACATCACGGAGGTCGCCGTGTTCGCTGCTCGACCAGCTAAGCATCAGCATCAGATTCTGACGTAATTGTCACGTGCACCGCCTTTTATACTGCCTCTCGAGCGCGTCAGTATTTAACGTCTCCGGTTACTATCGTAACCTCGGTTCCCTGAGAGCGGGAACGAGACATCACGGAGGTCGCCGTGTTCGCTGCTCGACCAGCTAAGCATCAGCATCAGATTCTGACGTAATTGTCACGTGCACCGCCTTTTATACTGCCTCTCGAGCGCGTCAGTATTTGCATGCGATTTGCATACTTCGCGACAATTGGCCAGTCATTTGGACTGGAGTGAGCCAATAGGACTTCAGGAAAGGTTGGAAGGGAAGGAGTTCTTCAAAAAAAATTTGAATTTTTTTTTGAATTTTCTTTTTTTGAAGAAGAAATTTTCTTTTTCTATTGGTCTCTGGAATTGCCAGTCTGCTGTAAACAAAACAGATTTTATTACTTCTATTACAAGTCATTCAAGACTAAACCTCATGGCCAAACACCCCCACAGCATGATGCTGCCACCACCATGCTTCACTGTTGGGACTGTATTGGACAGGTGATGAGCAGTGCCTGGTTTTCTCCACACATACCGCTTAGAATTAAGGCCAAAAAGTTCTATCTTGGTCTCATCAGACCAGATAATCTTATTTCTCACCATCTTGGAGTCCTTCAGGTGTTTTTTAGCAAACTCCATGCGGGTTTTCATGTGTCTTGCACTGAGGAGAGGCTTCCGTCGGGCCACTCTGCCATAAAGCCCTGACTGGTGGAGGGCTGCAGTGATGGTTGACTTTCTACAACTTTCTCCCATCTCCCGACTGCATCTCTGGAGCTCAGCCACAGTGATCTTTGGGTTCTTCTTTACCTCTCTCACCAAGGCTCTTCTCCCCCGATAGCTCAGTTTGGCCGGACGGCCAGCTCTAGGAAGGGTTCTGGTCGTCTCAAACGTCTTCCATTTAAGGATTATGGTGGCCACTGTGCTCTTAGGAACCTTAAGTGCAGCAGAATTTTTTTTTGTAACCTTGGCCAGATCTGTGCCTTGCCACAATTCTGTCTCTGAGCTCTTCAGGCAGTTCCTTTGACCTCATGATTCTCATTTGCTCTGACATGCACTGTGAGCTGTAAGGTCTTATATAGACAGGTGTGTGGCTTTCCTAATCAAGTCCAATCAGTATAATCAAACACAGCTGGATTCAAATGAAGGTGTAGAACCATCTCATGGATGATCAGAAGAAATGGACAGCATCTGAGTTAAATATATGAGTGTCACAGCTCATCTGAATCTGAAGGGTCTGAATACTTAGGACCATGTTATATTTCAGTTTTTCTTTTTTAATAAATCTGCAAAGATGTCAACAATTCTGTGTTTTTCTGTCAATATGGGGTGCTGTGTGTACATTAATGAGGAAAAAAAATTAACTTAAATGATTTTAGCAAATGGCTGCAATATAACAAAGAGTGAAAAATTTAAGGGGGTCTGAATACTTTCCGTACCCACTGTATATATATATATATATATATACACACACACACACACCTTGCTACGTGTACTGCGTTAGGCTAACTGAGACTTGTCATTTGCACTTATATATTGTTGCTCTTTTGTTAGTTTTGACTGCTTTTATTGTCCTCATTTGTAAGTCGCTTTGGATAAAAGCGTCTGCTAAATGACTAAATGTAAATGTAAATGTAATCTACAGATCTAGTCAATACTACAGCCCTAGTCAATACACTCTACAGGATTCTTTGTCTGTCTGTTGATTCCCTGTAAAGTTTTCTTACAAAAAAATAATTCTTATATAAGCCAAAGAAGGAAAAAAATTCTCAAATGAACATAAACTACACACATAGTCATGTTCCACACACTACTGTGATTTTCATCACCTCATCAGACAAGAGGATCAAATCTGGACACTCCACCTCTAGCCAATTAAAGAGGGTGATCACACTACAGGGCAGCGTGCAGGGGCACTCAACCTGCTGCCCTTTCACCACTCCATTAATAATGCAAGATTTTGAGTCGAACAAACAAACAGTCATAAATGCGCATGTGCAAACACACACACACACACAGACTTGCAAAGTGTCATTGCAGCATGGTGTGTTTTGGAAAGAGAGATGGACTGGACACTAGGGCGTGCATCTTGACCTCCTGTTCCACTCAAGAGTCTTAATCAAATCTCAAATGGGCTTGGCATTTCCAACTGCACAGTCTAACTGGAGCCAGCACACGACACTGTGCATGTACATTTGAAAACAAATTGACATAAGCATGAGCATCATGAAGTCTGTCTCCACAGATCACTCCAAAAGACAAATTTTTAGACTACAGGGACCAAATTCACAAAAATATTCTTTGGAGAAAATAAAGAAAATTATAGAAAATAAAAGACAAGAATAAATAAATAAATAAACAAACAGTTAAATAAATAATTAATAATATTTAAATAAATAGTCATAAATAATGTAAATATTGTAAACAATGTGGCTAAGTGCAATTCAAATTGCTGAATTAAAAAAGATTGGCCTTGTTTAATACAACAAATTCAGCGCTGTTGAATATAAACAAATGCTTTCATCTATTAATCTTTTTTTCTTCTTCTCTAAGAGGCCTTTCTGGCTTTCTTTCCTGCAGTCCATAGTATTTCCATCCAATAAGCCCTGCAAGTATGCTATATTGTGTGTATTATACATATTTAGTATGATAAAGCTATAATGACTAATATTTGAAATAAACCAATACATTAATAAATCACTTACTGTGTACCTTAAAGCATAAGGTTTAAAGTCGTAACTTAAACTCTAACTTAGCTATTTAGCTTAGTTATTTTTGAATTTCATATTTTTAAGGAACATATATATATAAAAAGTATTTCCTTAAATAGCCCCAGGAGTAAATAAAGTGCTAGTGGAGACGCTCTGGTCTCGCAGTACCTTTGAAAGCTGCTTGCTGGCGTTGAGTTGCTGGAGAAGGGAGTCTAACTGCACTTGAGTTTGCACTTGTCTGTGGCTCTGCTCTGCTGCGAGCTGCTGTGCTGCTTGTTTTTCTGCCTGTAGAGCTGTGACTTGCTGCTGGAGGGACAGAAGACGCTGTTGCAAAACAGCATGGGACTTTGAAATTCTTTTCTCCCTGATCTTTTGCTGGGAGGCACCTGAGGGTGGTGAAGAGGACACAATGCTACCGTCAGTCTCTTCCAATCTGACAGTGGATACCTAAGGTTGTAACAACACTTTAATTATGCCTTACAGTACAAAACCAGCTAGTATAATAACAATATTATATCCACAGTATTACAGCCACTGCTTTAATTTGAAAATTGTTATTGTGACTGCTGTGACTATAATATTATTTCAGTGAATATTATTTTACAAAATAATGTATTTATGTCTATAATTTATTAAACGCTATTTTAATTTCTTAAATTCTTCTTATGCAGAATTGCATTCTGGTTAAACCCTCGAGTCTTCATTTTCACAAAAAAACTGAAGGAAGATTTTGCTTCAGCAAAATGTTAATCTGAAGTTATGTCTTCAATAACAAAACAATAAACAATACAATATAGAGGACCGCATTTTGTAATTGTGCAGTTTTCCCATGCCCCACATACTACAAAACATCATGGCATGTGCTTGTGTTCCTTTAAAAAAGTTAATTAATTTAATTAGAAATAAAAATTTCCTTGTTTTGCGCTTTCAGTTAGCTTTACACTACCATGCAAATGTTTGGGGTGGGTAAGTTTTCCAGTGTCTCTTATGTTCACCAAGTCTGCATTTATTTAATAAAAAATACAGTAAAAACAGTGATATTGTGAAATTATTACAATTTTAAAACTACTTTTCAAATGTTTTCTATTTGAATACATTTTAAAATGTATTCCTGTAATTGCAAAGCTAAATGTTTTAGAAATGAGTCTCATATTCACTGCAATTATTTGATTAAAAATGCAATTGTACAAATTGAAATAACTGTTTTCTGTTTAAATATATTTTTATTTTTTAGCAGACATTACTCCAGTCTTCAGGGTCACATCTATCTATCCAGTAACAATGCAAAATTGTATAATTTATAGGCATTCAAGAAGAGGATTAGAAGTTTGCAACTAAAATGTACCAACACAGTGAATGAGCCTCATAAATTGTCTGTAATTTCGTGACAATAAAATTATTTCTATTTTACTGTCTTATAGATAACTACTGTACATAAACAGTTTTATTTGTTTGATTTGAAACAATGTGATGCTTTAATGTGTTTGAGCCATCCAGTGCCAATTTCTGACACAACTGAATGAATTTGGGGGCTAGACTGAACCAACACATAGGAGTGGGGCAGAAGAGGAAGTAGGAATGTTTGGGCAAGCTTTTTATTTATTTTTTGTAAACAATCAACATCTTAACAATTGCAAATTACATATTTTGCTTGAAGAATGAAATTGAAGAGAAATTTCTATATTTACAGTAGGTTGAGTTTTCTATTTGTTTTTTTTTTAAAGAATTTATAGGATAAGGACCGTACAAGCAATCAAGAGCGAACAATCACTCATTATGCAAGCACCTGAGCACAGTTGCGTCAACTAGGTTACCTTGGAATTGGATGTTTCTGGTTTGAGATTCCTCTCCAGGCCTGTCTGTGGGGCAGATCAGCATGTACCTGCAGCCCTGCAAGCAGGCAAGAGGTGGAAACACACAACACATGACACAAAAAGCTGGGGCAACAGTTTAACATAACGTAACGTGGCGGCTCACGGCAGAGTGACACAGAGGAAGCGTTTGTAGTCACATCAAAGAGGCTTTGGCTTTTCCCCTCGTTTGTATCGAACACTATTTAAAAAGGTTTTGATCAGTCTCTCTCTCCCTCTCTGTGGGTTTGATCACGGATTTATTCAGAAGCTCTTTAGTGTGACACGGGCGGCGCAGTGCTCTGCTCCACTGTCACGCCGATGTGAGCTAGCACGGTTGACGAGTACACAGAGGCATTCAGGCAGGATCTAAGAGAGGGCTGACAGCTGTAGAGCTGAGAGGAAGCGAAAAGAGGAAAAGATATGGAGCTTCCATGTTCCCTGAGGGGATGGGGGAGAGCCAGTGGAGCCCTGAGAGTCTGTCGAGAAGAGATCGCACTTTACAGGAACAGACACCTCTGATACACATCTCCCAATCGACACAGCTGCTTAAAGTCAAGAATAAAATGTTTTTTTTTTTAACTCTTCGCTTCGCAAATGAAAAGAGGCAATTTCAAGGTGAAGAGCGTAATTTTTTAAACTATAAATAAGCTATTTGTAGATTGATTCTGTTCAAAAGTGTTACAACTTAGGCTCTGAGGATACAGTAACATTGCCTCAACCAATTACATGAGCTTAGGCCCGATCTTTGAGTAGATGTCATATAAAAACGTCATACTAAAGCTTTCTGTTTGAATCACTTTCAGAGTGTTTTTTTTTCTTTCCAGCTGATGAACAATAAACACATTAACAGTAAATCGGAATTCACCCCGACTGTAAAAAGCTTGAGCATTTAAAGCCAAAGACAAATTGCTCACAGTTTATATTGCTTGCTAGTCAAGGTGGGGGTGGTTTTATTATACTGTACCACATTTAATATGGCACCTACCACACTAAAAAAAATGTAAATTACATATGTTCAAAATTATATGCATACATGTATACAGTATATGTATGTGTTTTAGAAATGTTTCTAATTACTTGTCTCTCATGGTCATTTGTAAAATAATTATTTCCATTTCTTTTCCTTGTATCTCTTCACAGACCCTGTATTAACACAGCAGCTTGTAAACAAAAAAACAAAAACAAACAAACAAAAGAATACCTATGTGCACTTTAAGGAGCTGTGTAAAGCCAGCCAATCAGATTAGATCCTGCCAGATCGAGAACCTGATTAGACGGAAACTTGGTCTGTATCTAAAAATTGCATACTTAAGAGTATTTTTTAAAATTGTTTTATATAGTTAGGAAATGTGTCGTATGAATATAATCCATTTGTCATGTTGTCATTGTCATGTAACTTACCAGAATCAGTTGCATTGATTTACTGCCATTTACAAATCCTCTCCCATGGCCTCATGGGATAGTAAAGTGACCATTGGATGCGCACTTAAGAATCTTGCCGGAAACATTAGGTCGCCCCTTGAATAATGTTTTTTGCCTACTATATAGTAGGGAAATATGCAATTTCAGATACAGCCTAGTTTGAAGGATGCAGTCTGTTTGGATGACCAGTGGCAGACTGAGAACATTTCAGTTATACTTTATTTCAAGGTGTCCTTGTTACAGTGTAATTGTGCAAATAAGAAGCAAATAATATTCATTAATAACATGTACTTACTACAGGATTAGAGCTGGAGTTTGGTTTAGGGTTAGCTGCTTGTAATTATGCATAACTTACTGTTATTACTATAGAAAGTACATGTAACACATAACAAGGACACTAAAATAAAGTCTTTTTGAAACCTTGTGTCATTATTTTTGGTTAGGTGTGCAGAAATCACCTTTAAAATGTCTTTCTTATGAATCTGTTGACTATCTTGTTGAAAACAAAATATAATGATTTGTAGGCAAATGACAGTTATTTAATTTGAGCAAAAAAATCTTAAACAGAAAAGAAGAGAATATTGCAAGGTCCTACAAATAATATAAACATTTTGTGTAACAAACCTTAGTTTTCCTTGAAACTCGTCGAGCTTGAACAGAATATCGACTTCCCAGGCTGTCAGAGAACTCTTCACTGTCACTGCAGAGATAAAGTTGACTTATTTACCAAGATAAAGAGATATATTGGGGACTACTATATGCCATTCCATAGCATTCACATGAGAGTGGTTAATTAGCAGAAAAGCAGACAACCCAGAAACTTAAACACCCATGTGTGGTGTGTAACTCAAACTGCTGAGGCACAGTTGGGACACTCTAAACGCTCCGGCATCTCATACAAGAGCCTCTTGGAGACAGATTTGGAAAGCTTCCAGCATGCCGTTCTGTTAGTAGTGGTGCATTTGGGTGAAATAAATCTGAACTGGTATCATTAGAAATCATCATACCATCCATCATGCCATAAACTCTGATGCAGGAGGTGACATAAAACTTTCATGAAATAATTACTGAAGATTTCTGAGGATGTTAAACAGCTTGTAGACATCTCGTAGAGAGCCGAACAGAGTCATTCAAAATTGATCCTGTTAAATTAGATAAAATATAGGAAGAGGAGGAGAGAAGGGAGATGCTGGGACCATAGCTGAATACGAGTGTCACAGGAGGAAAACTCAATTGATTGGCCAGAGTTTGCCTAGGACTCCTCCTCTATCAGTGATGAATATGCAAAGGAATCACAAATTAAATTAACCTGCCAAACTGTCAATTTCGGGGCTCATGGCGTTGGGAAAATGGCATTGGGCAGAAAGTGAGGTGCTGCGGGCGGGTTCAGGTGCTTCCTGGCGCCGGTTCAACTCGGCTGCTCAGAGGTGGCTAATTCTACATGCAAATTTCCGTCAATAAGCTCCTAGCAAGACATCCCAGGATAATTCAAAGGATCTGATTTTTTCCTCTTTCTGCCCCCCTCTTGCTCTTTTTTTCTCTTTTGAATACCAACTAGACAGAATCAATCCCAGCGATTCAATCACCCGTTTGCTTGTGTTTTTGCATATGCGTGCTGTCCCTACAGTCAGAAAAATAATGAGAGTGTGAGAGATGGAAAGCGAGAAAGAGACAGGGATAGTGAAAGGTGGGGGAAGTACCTGTCTGTGCTCATGTCCTCCCAATCGTCCTTGGCGGGACTGTCCATCCTGTTCAGCGTCGAGCGCATGCGTGTTCTGCTGGAGGTGTCAACCCAGGGTGCTTTGGACCTGATCTTGTTGTTTGCCAGAGTGGTGGCTTTCGCCCTGCATTTAGCTGCGGACCGATGGAAATCTCTCTCGGCTCGAAGGACTCCTAGTTCCTGGCGGATCTTAAGCAGTCTGCGCCTGGCCTGGGCGGCAGCTTTCATGGCCACTTTCGCCTGTCTCTCAAAGCTCTGCATCTGGGCCAGCAGTCGGTCCTGTTCTTCTCTGGCCTGGGCCTCTTCCGCCTCCTTGCTTTCCTGCAGAAGCTGAACTCTGGCCTGCAAAACACTCCGCTCTCCAGCCAGAGCTCCGTTCGCTTCCTGTAGCGCCCGGTTGTTTTCTCGCAACCGCACGATCTCGCTCTCCAGAGAGACCATTTGACTTTGTAACTGCTCGATCTGTGGGAGTACGCAGAGGCACGTGCACAGCAAATTATCACCTCATCTTTTCGAGACGTTTGTAGTTTAAACTCTCATTTGGCCTTTATGGAGAGGGTCCTTTCTGGGGCAGGCAAGCAGGCACTCAGTGATTCCCCCCAAATTTGTTACTCATGGCTAAACATAAAAGAGGGCCATTTAGGCAGCTTGTCAAATCCTGGTGGAGGGTGTGAAAGAGAGGAGGGGATGCCTGCTGGGTGTATACCCCCAGGCAAATCGCTGCCTTTTATTTAGCACTCTCACAGCCGTACTGCCGCAGCACACCACCTTTCAAACAACATTAGGCCCCTTTACGGCTGGCTGACAACGACTCACCCCCTCCCACAACTCCATCAAAAATTATTTCATTTATAATGCGTTTGCAGGAGCACATAAACAGCAGTCTGCCCCTGTGGGTTATTAAGTTTAACATGGTGCTTGTCATTCGGTAATAAAGGCGATGACAGCCCCCATTACACGACCATATGGCAGCTGCTGGCACCGCTCACAATGCCATCATCTGCTCCAAATTATTCTACAAACCATTTCATTCCTCTGCTCAGAATGTTCCCTCAGTCCTCACCAGCCCCTCCAGCAAGAACCAATCTAAATGTTGCTTTAGGGGAAGTCAAGTGCTTCTGAATAGAGTGTGAGCTTGATTTGCTCAGGCTAAATACTAATGACAAATGATTTGCTTGTGTTAAATGAGTGAAGTGCCCGCTGTCAAACACCAGCAGAGTTAGCGAATGCAAACAGAGCAGTTTGAATTTAGTTTTATTCAAATTAGTCTTAAGGGTGTTTTGTTGTGCTGTTGAGGGCTTAAATGAGCGATCCATTTTACAGGAAGACAGGTGGCTTTTACCGCTGTTTTAATTTACTACATTACTTTTTTTTTTTTCTGAGCACACCTATTGTTATAAACTGTTATTTTGCATGACCTCTATCCAGTTTTAGACAAATGAGCTCTGCATGTGACCTACTTGCATTCGTTTTGAATAGTTATGTACTGAAATAAAATTCTTGCCCAAAATCAAAACCAAAATGTTAAATTAGACTTTAAAATCTCTAAACATTTCTAAATATTACTTTTTTTTTTATTGCACTTGTTCCTCCTTCAGGTGGCATTACTACATTACCAACAACATTCAACAATATCTACAGATGTATAAATTTACTTTTGGCCAATATACACATATTTTTATATGGAGAGATTTTTGTTGCATCACAAATATTCATCTTTTTATGTCACAAACACAACTTTGCCTGCCATTCATTTGTGAATCGCATTCTGTACATTTTTAGATCGCTGCACGCATTTGTGGATTGCTTCCTGTGCATTTGTGAATGGCTTTTTGTGCATATGTGGATTGCTGCACACTTCTGTGGATTTTGAAACATTTCTAGTGACTAGATGGGCTGACAAATCCACAAACGCATAGACTCCACCCACAGTCTACTCAAGCCAATCAGATAGCAGCCACACTTCACTGACCAGTCATAGCACATTCTCGCTATAACCAATCACGTTTTGCTTTACAATCATGGCGGGAACAGATTAATTTACTCTCACCTCTGAAAGGAACTGCATTCTATGGACACTTTGTTCAAATTGAACCGAAGTGCTGTTTGTGTCATTAATAAATCCTATTTGGCTTCTTTACATCTTCATCAGGATCAGCGAATGAGAATAAACTCAGGATTATACACGCATGATGATCTTTCACAGATCCCGAGCATGATCAGTAACACCCTTGCGACGTATCCAAAGCAACCAGAACCCATTATAATGAGTGATACTGTCTACGATGAAGGACAACACGATGAAGGACAAATATTCGCACATTCACTTTGATGTGTCCAGTTGCAGTTACAGCTGTTTTAGCGCAGCGACAGCGAACAGGGTTGACACAGCGTAAGACATGACACAATGACACACATATATCAAATATGGGCCCAAATGTCCACATAGGTACCAGCCTCAGCACTTTTTTTTATTGCACTTGTTCCTCCTTCAGATGTCATTACTACATTACCAACAACTTTCAACAATATTTTAAAATACTGCACAACACTACCGATGTATAAATTCAGATAACTGCCACACTTCGCTGACCAGTCGTATCTTCGCTATAACCAATCACATTTTGATTTACAATCAGGACAGGAACAGATTTATTTACTCGCACATATAATGACACATATAACATCAAATATGGACCCAGATGACAACATGGGTACCAGCCTCAGCATCACTGCAGTGTGTACTGGGTATTTGTGAGTGGACAATGTATATAAAAAGAAAAAAGAAAAAAAAAGAGCCTTGCATTTACTTTGGATACTGTAATGTAACTTTTACTATTAAAACTAGTAAGTATGATTCATATGAAATATTGTTTGTGTGATCAAGTGTTTTAACCAATGAATATCTCTTGTCTTACATTTAGCCTATATGCATTTATATTCGATGCCTTTAAACACATTTAAAAAGAACCCATGTATATTTTTTCTCTCCAAACATTTTGTAATACTTTTAATGAATGTTTAAAAATGTCATTTATAATGCTTTATACAGTAGATCGCTAGATACACTTTTTGGTCCATCTTGAATAACATGACGCTTCTATGAAAGCGTCTACAGTATATCCAGTATGTAAAGTGCTGTTCTCTGGCTTTTTCAAATGCACGTAAAATGAAATACTGTGGCTTGGCGATACACGGTCTAATGGTCTAACAAAATCCAATTTTAAACATCTTTTACTGTACCAATTTTTATGGCCCTTATTTTTCCTATTTGAGCCAGAAATATATATTGTAAAGAAATGTTTCGGTAAAGCATTGGTTATAGTGAGAACATGCTACGATTGGTCAGCGAGTGGCTGTTATCTGATTGGCTTGTGTAGACAGTGGGTGGAGTCCACGTCTTTGTGGATTTGTCAGCATGCGCTTGCTTCCGCTTCATGTAAACAACGCATGCGCATGAGGGTGAGTCATTAATGACAGAATTTTTATTTTTTGGGTGATCTAACCCTTTAATGTTAATCCATACATTTTTAGCACTTTCAACTGTTTACATGTACACTACTGGTCAAAAGTTTGGGATCAGAACGATTTTTAATGTTTTTTACAGGAGTTTCTTATGCTCATCAAGGCTGCATTTATTTGATCAAAAATACAGGAATATTTGGCAGCACAACTGTTGATAATTCTAATAATAAATCAGCATATTAGAATGATTTCTTAAGGATCATGTGACACTTTATACTGGAGTAATGGCTGATGAAAATTCAGCTTTGCATCACAGAAATAAATTATTAATTTTATATATTTTTATAATATTTTAAAGGATATTAAAATAGAAACCAGTATTTTATATTGTAATAACATTTTGCAAGATTACTGTTTTTTTTCTGTATTTTGATTAAATAAATGCAGCCTTGATGAGCATGAGAGACTTCTTTAAAAAACATTACAAGTCTTACTGATCCCAAACTTTTGACTGGTAGTGTATACTAGTTAATATAAACAAACATTGATTAACAACGAACATAGATAACCTAGATTAATAAATGCTAAAAGAAAAAGTTAATTAATTTGCCTACATGCATAGCTATAATTGAGTGGGTTTTTACATAGTCGAGCAACAGTATTCACCTGTCTATATGACAATGTATATTTTGAACATATGAAAGATTAATTGGACATTACACATCCCATCTGTCTTTCGGAATAAAAATTATTACTTTAGTTTAAATTAGTTGACATTACTGTTAAAAAGTTTAAATTAGTGTTCATGATACTTGTGTATTAAATAACGTTATCAACCTGATTTTTTTTGTAAAGTGTTACCATTTACTTTTTATGCATTTAATGTCTGGTAATAGTCTGTGGCTCTGAGCATGATGTAAGGAACTGTGACCTTACATTATTATTCTTCACAAAATGTAGCTATTCATATAAAGGCTGAACAGTCAACGACTGGTACCTTTTTAAAAGTCTGTTCCACTCTTCTGGCGGTTGTCTTGATGGGGGTGCTGCTCCTCCTGACCTCGTCCTCCGGCACTTCCCGAAACAGAAGCTCTGCTAAAGGAATAAAAACCCATACTGTCACCTGACAGCCACTTTCCCTATTCAAATCAATTATCATTAATGACACATAATTTCTTGTCTTTTTAAAGGTCTATTCAACCGATTGAGCTCATAAAGAGGCCTTTAATGAACAGACTAAGAAAAGGGACTTGTAACCACAAATCAAAACCTTCTGACCTGAAGCAATCTTGCAGGTTATTGTAGAGTAATACAAATTAATTTTAAGGGTAACTGTCAATGTATGATGGAGTTTGTGTTTTTGACTTCATGGCAGGAACTTTGTTACTATGCTTGTTTAAAGAGGGGAAAATAAACACATTTGGAGAGCAGAACTTTCTGCTGCCTTGGGTTAATACAAGTTTCATGGTGAATGTGGATGCTCATTTGTCGAATGAACATGTTCTGAAATATTTACAATTTTTTTTTTCTGAGCTGACCTTTGGACAGTAAGAAGCAAGGCTGAAATTCTAGTGAGTCGCAGACCTGTCTTTCTCTGTAGCCTCATGCACACACCACACACTTGCAAAAAAAAAAAGAGCAAAAAAAACAACACAACTATTCACATGTGCATGCACACACACACATGCTCTTATTTGAGCATGATCACACCACAGAAAACTTTAAGGAACCATTACCTGTTCATACTGTGCTGCTAACATCGGAAATAACATGTAAAAAAATATATAATTTAATCAAATATATATTTTTTATTATTATTATAATTATTTTGAATAGTGTAACTTTCTATGGTCAAGCTGTGTTCCATCTCATGGCACTTCTGCACTCTGAGAACTAAAGCTCAACATAAGTCTTCGGCTTCACAGTGACTCACTATTTTCACTGCAAAATTTTGCGGTGTGCAGAAATACAAAAATAAAAACAATCAATCAAGTTTTAAACACTGAATGTTCTCTTTTAAACAATGATTTTACAGGACTTTTCTAGTTGTCTGTGATTTACTGGATTTTTAAAAGTATTTTACCATTATACCTGATATACTTGTATTTTAGAGCTTGGCGTAACTAGAGAAAAATAATATTCATTATTAAAATGCCCATGGTGTTATAAGATTTTATTAATTTACAAGTATTTTTTTTACAGACTCAAAAATCGCACTTTTAAAATGAAGGCCACGATATACTTCAAGCAAAACAAAGAACTGGTGTGACATTTTGAACAAAATCAGGTCAAAATGAAGTTCGTTTGGAATTTGTTCTGGAAATTAAAATTTCGCTGCGGCTGGTAAACACTAGAGATGCGCTGATCGACCACCCAGGGACCGGAACCAGACGGTCAGTCTGCCGATTCTGAGCCGGTCTGTTTTGACGTCACAATTACGGCGACTGATAATGTATTTATATCGTGCCAGATGAAGCTCGCGCAGCCTGAGTGAGTGCGAGAGAGACTCGTTCAGAAATCAAAACAAATGAGCGCAACAGCACACACAGAAAGTTATAGATGCATACTGCGGTAGTAAAAAAAAAAATTAAAGAAATTTATAATATATGATTTAGGTTTGCAACATTGCACGACCAAAATATTTCAACACGATTGCAATGTGATTTTATGCAATAGTAGTTAAATAAACAAGAAGTAAAAATTAAGTGACTTTCATTTTAGACACACTATTGACTGTTTTTGCTCAATTTCGCTGATGAAAATAGTTCCAATCAAAGCCACAGCAGAACTGTTTTGTGTCTCCGAGCAACACAGCAGTGTTTCGTTACTGAATGAATCCTTGTTTTGACCGAATCAAGTGAGTCAATGATTCAGTAACCCATTCAAAGACAGTTGTCACTTGCCTCGATTCTGAATGAATCAGCCATTTGAACGAATCTGTTGGATGAAGGACTAAAGGATGCACTCATTCAAACAGTCATTTGCCGCAACCTACTGGTTTGGTTTCATATTTAAAACTATCATTGCATTTCTCCCAACATTTCTTATTTGTGTTAAAAAAATATTAAAAACATTAATCTTATAAAATTCTTTATGCATTTGAAATTTCTTGCAGTGGAAAGATGGAGTTTTTTTATACTGATTTCATTTGAATGATAACAGCTCTACAGTTTCTTATTATTTTAACTGAATTAATTGAAATAATGTAAGAATTTGATGTGAAAGAGGACATTTAATAAGGTTAGTGAAAAACTACAATTTAAGAAACATTGGAAAATGACATCTGCTCAATAAAGCACTAGATAAATAAACGTGACGTGACTTGACTGGAGTGCTAAACTGCAGATCTGGTTTAAACATATCCACATCTCTCTCATCAGATGCTTTCTTAACTGCTGTTTTCTCACCACTGTGATTTTTGTTGTGTGTTTGTTATTAAGAGAAAAGCGTGCAGCACATATTTACATATTCACCCAAACAGCTCTCTCAGCAGCATGGGTGGTGTCGGGATGTTCGCAAACACTATACCACTTAAATGATATTTCCAACTTCTTTTTACCCCTAAACGAAGAACGGAAAAGAACCTTGCCATGAGTATATCGGATAGGCCTTTAGGCTACCTCATATATCTGGGTTCATCAAGAAAAATTCTAAACATATTGATTTGAAAATAATAACAACAGACAGCAAGACGTAGAAAATTGGGTAACACTTTAATATAGGGACCAATTCTCACTATTAACTAGTTGCTTATTAGCATGCCTATTATTAACATATTGGCTGTTTATTAGTACTTATAAAGCACATATTCTGCATAACCATATTCTACATCCCTTATCCTACCCAATACCTAAACTTAACAACTACCTTACTAATTACTAATAAGCAGCAAATTAGGAATTTATTGAGGCAGACGTAGTTAATGGTTTGTTAATAGCGAGAATTGGACCTTAAAATAAAGTGTGATTGAAAATTACTATACTTGACCATCATTAGGACATGGAGTCCACACTTGAAGATTTGAGCATAAGATTTCTGCAGAATTCTAATTCATTATTCACAAAGTTGCACATCCCCCAACCCTTGAATATTTGTTTATTAAATATTTTGGGTAATCTAACAACACATTAAGCATCCAAGTGTCATACTCTCAGTTCTCCAGACTAAAAAAATTACTAGGATGCCATTGGCTAATAAAAAGAAACATTTAACAGCCAAATGACTTTTTATTATAAATTATACTTGTCATATTACAGAATCCTTTGATATAGTCATCCATGATCACATTCTGTCCCAACCTAATGCATGAAGATCCATAGAGAGATGCATTGAATGTTACATTTTCACTTCGTCATTGCTAGAAGATGAGCTTATATTTGGAAGAGTTGCAGAAAGGCTGTATGGTACTGTACATAGTGTCGTACTAGTCCATAGAAAGGAATACGTGTTTCATAAATTACTTCAAAGCATTCTTATCTTTAAACTAAACGTTGCTGCTGTGGGCTCTGCTAATATATCTTCCAGTTTGGGGAGAAAATAAAAATGTTCATGTCTAAGCATATTTCACAAAATGTTTTTTTTAGAATAATATTCATTAATTTATTACAACAAAACCCATGGTTCATGATGAAGGAGTCAGCAATATGGAATAGCCATGTTAGAAAACACTGTTGTGGTAATAAAATTGGTCATTAAAGTAACTAACACTTCCCCACAACTAGACTTGTGCCGGTATTCGGTAATGCGATATATAAGGAAAATGTTATTAAACCTGTTATACTGTATTATGACAGCACTTTTTAAAACTAAATTTCAATATCGTGATAATACCATATACCGTGATAAAAGCATTAGCAATTAATCGCAACATGAAAATTTGACCGGCATATCCCTACCCACAACACTGATTTAGGTAGGAATGTTACCAACTTTCTGCCAACTTTTAGAAATGTCCCTACCAAGATTTGGCCAATTTTCCCCAAAGAAGGGTGTCTATACACTAGAGATCGCTCTGATGGAGCGTTTGACGGATAGGAATGTACAAGCTCCTTTCTGAGGGCGTGCAAAGAGCCATGTGAATTTGAAATCAATTGGGAATATAGCAAATTGGATTTCCGAAAGCACATCTGGACCCACCTCTCTCAAATTCTCAAGGGTTAATGGTCATGTCATAATTTTATTTCGTGATTTCACTGGGACAGAAAGCGGATGAAAGATGAAAGTGTGTGTCTGTGGCAGCTGCGTGTGGGGAAATGCTCCATACTGAATACTGCTGCCCTGTGTCACCTATGACCCGATTTTGCCACTGACCGAGGGAAGGATAATATTTAATATAACAAATCTTAACGTTGGTAAAAGGAGGATTTAGAGTGAAATAATCTCAGATATCAGGAACATGAAAGGTTAACAACAGTGTTGTTATTGTTAACTAAAACTACTAAAAATAGTTTTTGTTATTTGAAAAAAAAATGGCTGAAATAAAATATAATTATTAGATGAAAATCAAACTCAAAATATTTAAAATGGAAATTCGAAATACTTTTGTGGCAACTTTAAAAATAAGTTTAAAGTGATAGTTGACACAAAAATGAAAATTCTGCCATTATTTACTCTCCCTCATGTCTCATGCTGTTCCAAACCTGTAAGACTTTTATTTCTTATGCAGAACACAAAATAAACTATTTTATAGAATGTTGGTAACCAGAGGGAAGAAAAACAAAACAAAAACATTTACTAAAAATATCTTCTTTTTATGATCCACAGAAGAAAGTCAGGGTTGTAACAATATTAGGGTGAGTCCTACACTATTATTAAAGCTGAAATAAAATCTAAATAGACATCCAAAACTAATAAAAATGACAAAAGCATAACAACATTTCCAAGATTTAAATAAAAATGAAAACTAAAAATGTAAAAATAAAGGATATTAATAAATACTAATAAATTAATAAATACTATAACAGTATACTAATAAAATAACATTAGTCAACATATTTAATATGATGGGTCAGAGAAATATGCATACAGGATATGAGTCTTGAAATTACATTAAGGAATAATGTTATTTTGCCTATATCATCAGACTTGTTTCCACAAAAAAAGTAGTTACTGCTTTAATCATAGATTGAATTTTAAAAATTATAATCTTAAAGGTGTCTCCTGACCAAAGTTCAACCAGAGCACACAGGTGTTTGAATTTTTTCACATTTGCTACCATTTAGTCCCAGAGTGGATACTGGAGTTTCAAATTTAAATTCATTCCATAGATTGAACAATTTGTGCAGAATAAGGGCCTGGGACTTAGTATTAATAAACCACTTAATTTACTTGGCATTGGTATTAGATGAACTGGAAAGGATCAGTTGCATTCTCCCAAAAGAAAGGATTCAGAATGTTTATAACAGTTTACACAATGGAACAGCTTACTCATCAATTACATTTCATTACATTAAGTAGTGCAAATGATGCCTTTGAAGTGTGTGTTGGATAGGACAGTGTGTGATACCTTGCGTTTCCTCCTGCTGATGCTCTTGTAGGTCCTGCACTGCAACTCTGTCAAGGGCTGCGTTTAGTTCCTCCTCCAGATTAGCTCTAAACATATCCAACAGCATCCAAATTAGATGGCAGAATTACTACAGTGCCACGTAAAGGTATTCAGATGGACTATATCAATACAACAAGAAAACAACATTTATTTCAATATCAATACCACTTCTGAAATCGTACATACACCTGAGGTATGTATTGATTTAAAGAATAAGCTATTGATGTGTACGGTCCATTCACTTTCAAACTAAAGCATAATGGAGTTTAATCAGGAAACTCACAAGCCACCTTACAACCGCAATGAGCATGCATGATTGGATTGATCTTGATCAAAAGACAAATTGTGATCGGATGGCTGAAACTACTTTTAAAAGATGATCGGAGTGAATTTAGATGCATTTTCATTACCTGCATTCAGGTCTGAACTTAATATGTGATGAGGTTACATGGCAAATCATGTGTTTCACTTTGATAGGCTGGTTAAAGCTAGTTTGTGAGTCCTAAAAAAGTAATAAAAACAGCAGACAATGTGCTTTTGCAATTTTCTCACCCAAGTGTATTAACAATATCTAAATATACTGTAGTGTATATCAAATTATTTCATTGGATTACACTTGGAAGAGAGTGCTATGATTTTTTGTTAACTTTTCTTTACTACTGATGCCTATCAACATAGGGTTAGTATAGAAGCGTTAGTCAGAAAACAAAAGAAACACCAGAAATATTTTACAAGTATCCATTAATGTTTTAAAATTTTTGTGAAAACAGCAGCAGTTTCAGTTAATACAAACTCATGTTATATGCAATTTGCTTGGGCTCTATCCAATCATGCTGGAGACGAGATGCATGAAGCTGTAAACTATCCAAATACAAAATGCATGTTAATGCCAGGTGTAAAGGAGACCATGATGTCACTATGTTACTTGACAACTATGCCTGTTGTTTCTGTGCATGAATTTACCCATTCTGTTAATTTTTATTCTAGGCTGTGAATACAATACGTTTCTGTCAAAGCGTGTTAAGCTACTGCTTTTGAAACTTCCTCTTTTACCTTTAAAAAGCTTCAACTCTGACACCATCCAAATCTCTCCCCAACTGAGATGGAGATATAAAAAGAAACCCCGCTAATTAAATAGCTCTTAATTCACCAAGAAATCAAAGTGCTAAGTGACAAGAAACATAAAACCCCTGGCTGGGGTGTGAGGATTTCTTTTCACCTAGACTGAGAAGGGATTGGGGTGGGGTGCAGGGGGATCTGAACAGACAAGTAGCGAATCTAAACCCAATTAAGAACCACCAATTAGCTATATGCGTTCTGGAGACTAATTAAAAGGGGCAAAGTTATTATTAGGACCCAAAAGAAGCCTGCTGAGGATTGGGGTAGGCCCCAGCGAGACATCTGCACCTGAAACACGCACCTAGTTCTCCTCCCATTTGTTCTAGAGCAGCGGTAGAAGAACCTCTGCTGAATTGCAGTGGCTTAGCTCATCATAGTGTAACTACTAGCAATATGGGTAACTATGGGTAATACTCCAGTTGTACCACAACAAGGGACTTATGTTTTTTTCCCCCCCAAAGAAAAGATCCACTAACAAATTCAGACAGAAATGAACATCAACTCCCTTTTCTAATCACCACATTTCACCTATTTTGACATATAACCTGTGCTTCTAAAATCAACTCCTTGTCGTATAGTTGTGCTAGAGTGCAGCATATATTAGCAGCAGTGCAAGGTGGTTTATTAGCATTCCAGCTGTGGAGATCAGCTGTGGGTCTCTCATGACCCCACCAGTCACTCTATCAAAACAGAGCTACTACAGCTTCTCTTTTCATGTCAACAGCATAGATTTGTTTTTTAGTGCTTTTTGTGAGATAGTGTGTGAACCTCTGCTCTATCAATCCCCTCTGCTTTCCAGTCCCAGCTTGTCTTTGAGCAAGTACATCATTTGAATAACAGATGTTTATTAGTATAGGACGGTCAGCAGGCCCCTCTCTAGAGCTTCCATTCTTGTTGGATACATTTCGGTATAAATGAAAAACTAAAGTTGAGACGGAAAGAGAAGAATAAGTAAAAAAATAAAAAATAAAAATAAAAAACACTGATTGGATGTTCTTTGAATAGAGTACAAGGAAGTAATGATGATACATAGTGAAGGTCCATCAAGTGATTTTTTTATTGATATAGTCACAAGCCTCTGAGAAATAACTAACAACTTATTCCCACACAATCATTTTACAATTATGGCAACTACAACCATTTAAACGAGGCCAATGAGAACAGGAAAACAACAACAACAACTGCAAAATCCAAACAAGGTTTAAACAGCTCTTATATTCCATGAAACTAAATACATGGAGCAGCTGGTTGGTAGCCATTATTTGCACTACAGAAAAGACATCATGGTACTGTGCAACATAGCTTGACAGATACTAAGATCAAAACTAATATTGCATCCAGGATCAGAAATATAACTTGGACATATTTTTGAATAATTTAATTGTAGAAATTTGAAGCACAATATTCGGTCCCACTTTATATTAAGTGGCCCTAATACCTGTGTACTTAGTAACTAGATGTGTACATAGTATGTAACCACAGTGTAAGTACACATTGGTACATAGTATCACGTCAGTGTCTGCGCTTGCTTGGCCATTTGTTGCGGAGAAAATAAGGAAAGTGTGTCCAGCTGAATTAATTTAGTATTTTGTTAGACGGGTATAAAAAAGCTTAGTTTACCACGACAGCGGTCGCGGCAGCCGTCGCGTGAAGGCCTCCTCTTGTGAAGACCGAAGAGTGTAAAGACTATCGTCTCTACCGTGTGACTCCACCGGGCAGTTACACCGGCAAAGGATAGATAAGTATCACTTTTTATTTCTCCTCTTTCCTATTACTTGTTTCGCTTCTGTTTCAGTTTTTATAACCATTTCTTACTATGTGTAAGTAAGTT